GGAGCCGCCGCCGCCCGCCGGGCCCAGGTAGGGAACCCCGGCCTTGCCCAGAGCAGCACCTCCAGCACCACACGGCCCCCAGGCCCCCCTTTCTCGCTCCATCGCTGTGCAACACGTGTGAGCCTTTACCATCGTTGGAGAGGGGGGTCCAAAGGCCCGCAGGGACCTTCAGCATAAAACGGTGCCAGGGGCCCAGGGCTGACCCTCAAGTGTGACGCACAGCAGGCAGCTTGCCCTCACTGGCCCTGCCCTTGCTCACACAAGCACCTTCCCTTTAACACAGCATCAGGAGCAGCCCAGGCTGGTGCAGTCTTGTCTCCCCCTTCCCACCTGACCCTGCTGGCCCGGGGACCAACTGAAGCCCAGCCCCAGGAACGCCCTCGGGAGACCTCCTGCAGCAGTGCTGACTGCACCAGGCTGACTTGAAATAGCATTCGTGAACGCAAGAAACCCACCTTCTAGCCCCCGCTGCCCCTTTAGGGCCAAGTCTCATAGTTTAAGCTGCCTCATACTTGCGGAAGGTCATTTAAATTTGTAACAGCAATAAGCAATGACCTTTCTGTCGAGGCAACTGCAAACCTGAGCGAATAAAGTTAACACGTGCCCTGCGCAGCTCTGGCAGTTCATGAGATTCTTCTACAGAGTGACATTTTGAGGTGATGCTGCTACAGGTAAGGGGATAAACAGAATGGTAACAGAGCAGTTAAGAAGTTCTGGCAATGACTAAGTCATGAGTTGAGTTAGTCAGACATTCACCCTTTAAAATGACTGACAGGTGCATGAGCAAGCTCACCATAATCCTACTTGGATAGAAAACCTTGTCACCCCCCTCCACTGCTCTAGAGGTTTCTCTGCTATTTCACACAGACTAAACAGTAATTCTAGCATACTGCAAGCTCCATATGTTAAAAGTATTTTTTCCCCAAAACTCTACACTGTAAAACATTGCTCAATACTTGTCCTCGGTTGCTTTGTTATGAATAGAAACACTAGTAGCATAAGATTTAGTTGCTTCCTGCCTGCTTCCATGTATGTAAAACACCAATTCTATTGTAATGTATTTTCTTTACAATAGAAAACCTAATTACCAAAAAAGCTTTTCTGCAGAGCACTGTTCAATGACAATTTTGGCATAAAAGTTCACATAAAAAAAATCAAAAAAAACAACTCCAACACCACTGCAGGCAGAACCGCAATCACAAAAACATGCTGCGTGCAACAGGCTTTACAGCCATTGATGGCTTTCAAACGTGGTGATCCAAAAGCTTCTCTCATGTACTGGTGTTTTCTCAAGCAAAATAGAGGCGGCTTTCCAGGCAAGTTCTCCACAAACAGCCCAAAGGCAGCAAGCGTGGAGCACATCTGCCCTCCCGTGGTCGATATGGCTCTACTTCGTTCTCAACACCGGTGATGTGTCATTAAGGGGACATACTAGAAGAGTAATTTACCATGCCTGGGCCGCAGTATACACAGGTACATTCACACATGCCTGCCCACCCAGAAAAATCCATGTCCAGAGAACAGAAATTAGGCATGTGATCCAATGCAATCCTTAAATGGCTCACAAGGAAAAGCAAAGAAATAGAGGGACTTATAGAAATACTGCTAGGATAGCATCACTTCCTTCTCTCTCAGGCAATCTTCACAAGTTTTGTGGGATGCATCTCCCATGAAACAGCCTTGGCAGGATGTGCAAGGGAACCACTTCTCCACTTAAGTTTTAATTCATCTGGTGTTCTCACTACTGAAATGCAGTCCTAGAAGTCCAACTAGAAATAAACCAGCCGAGATAAATCCCGAACTATCATTATAATGCTTTCGCCTCCTTACTGGGGCATAGCATAGCCTTTAGGAGAAAGCTCCAGAGAATACAATTGTGAATTATGGGGCCACAGGGAAAGATATGCTGGAGAGAGGAGCTAATTTAATGCCAGGAGTCCTTTTTGCCAACATCCTCCTTAGATGTCATGGAGCATTAGAGAAACCTGGGAGACTGAAGAGACTAGCTTCTCTGAGGTTACCTCCCTTAGCATGAAATAACAAGGGATACCTGTTGGTAGCACATGGAATCAAAACCACATTAAAGTCGAGTTGTTCCATCAATAGCCAACATGGTGAATTAGGCATGTGCAATTTTATTGTAACTTAAGGCCCATCCGGTCAAGCTGTGCAGCTTTTGGCAAGTCATGTAGCCTCTGGCCATCTTAGGAATTGTAAAATGAGGACACGGCACAATGCTAAGAGAGATTAAGGTGCTAGTTTCTCTCTAGAACCTGGTGGACAACACACAAGGTGATGAAACTGCTATTTGTTAAGACTGTGAAACAGCATTTACAAGAACTGTGAAAGAGCCATTTCTTGGAGCATAAAATAAGACTGAGGGGAAGCTGTGGAAAACGGCCAGGTGAAACAACTTGTATTGCCTCATAGGTTTGGCTTGGCAAATACAGGACATCCTTTACCTTCTAACTGTACCTCTAGCTGCAACGCATACACTGGAGCAGAGTCCATTCATGTCCCATTTATTTACCTTCATTTAATTACCTCTGCGCTGAGACAAGAGCCAGACATCAAAAGAGCACTCAAAGGAACTGGGGAGAGAAGCTTGTGGACTAAGCTGGAAGCGCTGGAAGACCCAACAGTTCTTCTGTGTACTCTTGTTCTGCACTTGCATTCACCGGCTGCTGGCAGTGCACTGCAAGCGTGGCAGACCCTCGCCTGCAGGTACGGAGACAGACGCTGCACACAGCCACCTTGTCTGCAACGTGCAGGAAGGGAGAGAAGCAGCTGCGGGAACTGACTGAAGCAGGTCCCTGTTTGCAACGCACAGCCCTAGCACACATCCAGAACTGGCTTCCTCCACATTTGCACTGGCAGAACACATACTCGGCCACATCCAGCACTCACTTCTGTTGAGTTTCCAGTCCCACATAAAACACCTTCTGAAAGCCTTTGGCAGATGTTTGCTTCCTAGTGGCTTATGCAAATGAGTTTTGCTTCATTTTCCTATTTGTTTTTGTGCAGTGAAGAGCAAACTTGGTATGAACTCCGTCAAGAGCTAAATTAGCTTCAGATGCTTCACAGCCAGACTTGTTTGGCAGAACACAGCCCTCTCTGAGCCAGAAGCACTCACCTGCAGAGCACTAGGTGAGTAATTACTAACATTCCTCCTCTGCTGGCTTTATTCACTCGGTCATCCTCTTTCCATTACCTAGGACCTGATCAAAGAGGAGGGAAGAAAAAGCAACAGATGGATCCAAAGTCTGGAGTTTATCAAGTTCTTGGTATTTTCTTTGCATAAAGCAAGACAAAGCAGATCCAATTCTTCATAATTTTAACAGTGCCTTCAGAAGAGTCCTGGCTTCAGTAAACACCTAATGGCATCAGCATTGCCTCACCTCACTCCTTCCACACAGCATTTCGCTTATGGCCTTTATACCTCCAGACAAAACTCAGCCAGCAGAAGCCTAACACTTCACCATCACATGAAACTTCTGTCCATCACTGTACTCAAGGTATCCTAAAGAAGGGAAACACTCCTAATGAAAATGTCCCACCAGCAAAATGAGATCAATGCACATCTTTCTTAGCTACCCTAGCACAGACCCTTAAATAGTGGTTTGGCTCAGAAAATATCAAGAGTTGCACAGAAATTTTTAATAAAGTTAAGATTCCACCAAGTAATCCCAAACAGAAGGATATAGAAAAATTCAGACTGGGCAAGAGCTTAACCATTCCATTAACTATTTAAATCCCAAGACTGAAGCCACAGTATTACTGAATTCAGATGCCCTATGCTTGTTTGGGATCTACACACAAACATTCAGAGTATTACATAATTATCATCAACACTGAACGTCAAGCCTTGCTTTTTTGATAACCAGGCATTTACCAATTTAGCCTATGAAAAGGCTGAATATGATCCAAAAATAAATAAAAGACATGACTTGCTGAACATTGTGCCAAGTGGCAGAACTGCTCAAAGTATCTGTAAACAAACTTTTTCACAGAATAATGACTTGCTCTCGCAACATGCATCCAGACTATTCCAATGACCCGCTGGACAAGAGAAAAACATCTTTGCAATGACAAGGTCTCATTCTTGTAGGTTTAATCACTCATTTTTAGATTCACAGCATCCCCGGAAGTTTGGAAAAAGCTCTTATTCCTTCTTTATTGTTTAAAAAGCAAGAGACCTAAAGCACAATGTCCTAAAAAGCTCCTTTAAAATACAGATGTCCAGATTACCAGTGTTTTAGGTATTCTGCTGTGCACATGGCACTCCCACTTTTTCCTCGGCCCAATGGGACACATTCTAGCAAAATGTCAGTTTTTGGAAACAGCTCCATTACTGGAATAATTGGAAACAGTAAGTGCAGACAGAGCAAAACATGCTGGCTTGCTCAAAACTGAACCTCTTCGCCTTAGGAATAATACAAACAAGCTTATGAAAGCACTGAAACAGAGCGGACAGGACAGAAATGCCAACAGCCCAACTCCACAGAGCTGCTGCCAGTTCTCTACTGACAGTTCTGTATGTTCTAGCAGGAAACAGAACCTGCCTGAAAGCAAGCCTGCAACTCTTTCATTGCTATAGCATTAACAGCAGAACTTAATTCCCCCTACACAATGCAGGCTAACTCCCGAGTGAGCAAAAGCCAAGCCCAGAGACCTCACTGCTGCTACCGGTGCTTTACAGCCTATGACTTGGCATTGGAATCTGCAACATGCTGCCAAACTCATGCTCCCAACTCCAGTCTTCCACGTATCACCTGCATGTTGAGGTAAGGATGAGAAACTTTAAGTGGCAGAGCAAGTGCAGAGCACTGCTGTGTGGTGGCTATAGCCAGAAGCAACTGAGGCAGCACAGGAATGGATTGTACCTATTCATTTATTTGCAGGAGATCTTACCCCTCTTTCAATTCTTAGAATTTGGGCAGTGAAATACAGACTAATTTTTTTCTAGGTGAATAATGTTAATTGCTTGCCTTTTCCTGGCATTTAACATTTAAATCTCATTCAACCTGAATTTATTCTTAGTTGTACAACAGCTTCGGAGTGCTCCATTTCGTCTCTATGCCCCTCCACAGGGGCAGAAGAATGACAGTTATCAGGTGTGGTGTCATAGAAGATCCTGTAAGTGTTAAAAAGGGAAGTCATTCCCTCCCACTGTCAACGGAAGAAATTCAACAAACCATCCTCAGTACCTCACCTTAAAACTTCTTTGATCAAAGAAATGGAATAAAGTCCCTGTAGCACAGAGACAAAGCATTTGTAAGAACTGATTAGTATGACCAGTTAAAACACCATTTTTCAACTAATTAGTTATATTTACCTACCTTGTCAAAAAAATCCATCTCTGGAGATGGACATGAGAACATTTGTCTTCATGGATTTAGTACAAGTCACAGGCATAAGGAAAAAAAAGTCTAGAATAAAACTGTAAATGGCTACTCCTTTCAGAAAGCAACCGGCATTTAATTTGTTATTTAGCCAAACTGATACCTTTCAGGACAGTAAACTAGGTACAGAAAGGACTTCAGTAATTTCTGAGACTGGCTAGGCTACCTCACTGTCTTTCTTCAGCATTACAGATAAACTCCTCATTTCTTGTTTTGCAGTTCCTTTTGCAAGGATAAGTGAAGCGACACAGTGAGCCCTATGCCAAAGCACCTACTGAGGTTCTTGGAAAAACAACTTAGAAGGTTAACTCAGTACACAGTTATGTGCAGTGACTCACATCTCTGGCCTTGGCAGTGAGACTAGGAGAGAAGGAATGGAGTAGAAACTGCACTGTTCTTCTCCCTGTGAAGGGGCTTGTCAGTGCTATAAGCAGCTGATGAAGACCATACAGCTGGACCGTGGGTTGGCATCTAAGAGAACAACAGATTTGCAGTCACAGCAGCTTTCTGAGACACCAATGAGGAAACAAGCATGGCTAGCAACTGACTTACGACTTGCACCTTCTTTGGAGATAAGAAAGTTGCTTCAAGTATGTATTTTTAGATTGTTCTTTACCTTGAAAGACATTCACCTTTGAAAGGCAAGAAAGTTAGACTTGTAAACATAAAAAGTAATCAAGATTTTTAACAGACCATTCCTGGTGCAAAAGGGGGTTGATGCAAAGCAAGATAAGCACATTCTTTGTCTTAGCTCTTTAAAATCCCATATTCTTTCCAAAAAAATGCAGGGATGATGCAAAACCAGGATACAATATCACACATAGTCATTAAAAGAAGTGCACAGGTAGGGCAGGCTAAACTTGCATTGTTATTCACTGGGGGATCCACCTTGCAGGCTTTCTTTGTCCATTGCCTTAATATCCATATATCTCATTCTCCACCCAGGCTGATTCCTTGCTCCTTCCCATGCGATCTCCACACAGTTCATAGATATCATTGGTCACAAAGCCACTTGGTGTATTCATTGCCACATCATCATAATCCCCAGAGAGACTGTCAAGCATGTTATGTTCTCGGGTGCAAAACGACGAGTTCTTAATGTCAGGCCTGGTTCCAGTCAGATCTGCTTCCGATTGCTTCTTAATGACTTGGTAAACCTCCAGATCTGGACTGTTCCTCCTGTGGGTAGAGAGCCAGGCATCTTCATCCTTTGGGCTCGTATCTATTTGCTCCCGTTTCCTTCGGGAAAGGAAACAACAGGTTCTAATGTGCTCACGTGCAGAAGCAAACAAAACACCCCTAGTACGTCAATAAGCTAAAGGCCTTGAGCAGAGCTGACAGAGGCCAGATACAGCACATCTGCTGTTTCTTGCAGCTCCAGGCGTGGGGCAGCAGGCTGCATCACTAGGGCCACCCATGGGGAGCTCGGCCCTGTGCAGACACCCTGACATCCCAAGGGGCCAAGGCAGTGAGGCTCAGGTCTGGCACCCCCAGCACCACATCCCTTTCCCCACCAGAGCGGCCATGCACACAGGCAAAAGGAGGGGAGACTGAGAAAAGCCTGGCAGAAAAAGGGTCGTGACTCTGGAGCAAATAGTATTTCTCTCTTTCAAAGGGCATCTCCTCCTCTCTTGGCAGGAACCTGGTCTTAAACAAATTTTAACACTAACACTTCAAACCATTTTACACTCTTCCCTATCTAGCATACATCTGTGGCTGAAAGCAGCTCTCTAATGGAATCCTTAAGCTGGCAGCAGAATGGCTGTTTGCACAAGACACCCGAGTTCACTTGTTAAACAATGTCACTTGCCTCTTTGCAAAAAGCCAAAAGGAAAAGATGGCTGTAACGACCATCAGTAGCAGCAGCACAGGAATACTGGGAATAAGGATGTAGGCAAGACTCAGAACAGGCTCTAGGGGTAAAAACATGACAGTCCAGCCTTTATTTACTTCCTGGTGTATTTGGCATGCACATAAGAAAAAAAGTTATCAAAGACAGCACCACTGCTCCCCTAAGGGCTTCAAGTCCTGTTCATAATCTATCTGTATCTGATCCTTCTCAAAGGCAGCAACTGCAATATAGACTGATACATAAACACATTAGAGTAGAATAACCTCCCTGTGAGAAGGCAATGGGTAGTGCAAGCTACCAAGATGCACTGTTCTTTAAAAGCTTATGAATCTCCATCCAAAGCATTTCTGAGTGGGGAATGTCTTATCTCTTAAGTTCTCAATAGCTTATTCTTTAGCCATCTATATGAAGGGAGAAGTACAGTAAAAAGAAATTTGAAGTTTTTTGCAGTATACTAAGAAGAACATTACCAGTTTTGACATTCAAGACCAATTCAGTATTTTGAAAGCACTTCTCAGGTCCAAGTATTTTACAGAGCTTTAGATTTAAAACATTTTGGTACTCAAAGCAAGCTCTTTATGCTTGCAGCGGTAAAGATTCACAGGGGAAATTTCCAGCTGAAATTGCCAAAACTCAGTCAATGTTCTGGATCAAATACTCCACCTTTAAAGGTTGCCTTTGTAGCCGCGTGCAAGATGATGGCGTGCAGAGCTAGAGAATGGGCCAGCTGATGAACACAGACCTTACCTTGGGCTTCCTTAAGTGTTCCATTAGTGTATTTCTTATGGTGTTCTTCTGGCAATACTGGCTTCAATGGCTCTGTTGCAACATCTGAGAAGGAGATATTAGTTGATATCATATTGCAGATGTTAGCTGGTAACTTGATCATAAGAAATGAGGGTGGAAAGAGATGGAAGCAACTTCCGTCTGTCAAGACCTGCACAGTGCTTTAACTTAGCACTGTTTTGCTAAGATCTCTGCAGCATGTGGATCCCCTGTTCATGCTGCATCAACACGCAACGCTCCCCTGCACCAGACTGCATTACATTTCCTTCATGCTGTTCAGTAAACTGCAGGAAAGCTTCTTTGCTCTTGAGGCTTACTGGCTGTGAGGGTCCTTGATAATGAATGCTAAGCGAATAATTCTAAGAGCAAATACATCATTTAAAAAAGCCTAAACCAAACTTAGCCAACTCACCTGTTTGAGAATTCCCTCTTGCAGCATTTGTTTGCTTCTCTAGAAAGGAAAAAAAGATATGCGTAACTTCCTTATAAGCTTGAGTAGTGGCACATCAAGTCTCCAAGCAGTCTAGGAAAGCTGGTACCCTTCTTAGTCTTCTCTCTCCTTCAGGCGCTATTTAAGATCAAGCACTTTACACAAGTCCCAACAGCTCACATAAGTTGCTACAAATATTGGATACTGAGGTACTTTTCCCCCGGATCTGCATCAGTTAAAAAACTGCCTGTCTCCTAAGAGATACTTCCGGTGAAGCTGGGGTTTTCCAAAGACACCATCAAGCCCTCCTTTTACCTACTCCTCACCTCCTTTACCTACAGGAATGGGCTGGATTTTAAATATTACGAATGGCTCATTACCAAGAGCATATTTGCAAATGAAGTTGTTTTTCATGTTGCATCTGTCATCATTCCATTGAAACATGTAAGGGCCTCCAACACCTGGTGGCGCAGATGGCTGGTGGTACATCACCACACAGATTTCACTCCCACAGGACGGCTCATCCACATACCAGTTCCTAGGAAAACAAACATGTCAAGTCAACCTTCCATGATGCTGCAGAGGCTTCTGCCTAGAAGCATATTAACGAAGACTGACTTGTGGGTATTTCTTCCAGTAAAACCGCATCCACCTTGCCAAGTGGGACAAAGGAAGCGGGCTTTCACTATTCAGCAATCTAATACAATTGATACTAAAGAAGCATTTTATACACTGCAGAAGATTGCTTTTAAGACTATATGGCCTAATTTTGAAAAAATGTTCAAGACAGTGATTTTGGAACAAGTAGGATTCAGCATGCCAAGCACTTTTTGAAAGCTGGCCCACAAATAAAATCCTGATATACCAAGATACTAAACATGGGAAAAAGTGTTAAAGCAATAATTTCACAGTTATTACAGAACCCTGTATGCTTCCCCTTCTGTCCCCTGCCAAGAACACCAACTACTTGACTTAGCTTACTTACTTTAGCTTGACTTACCCAGCAAGCTGCACCCCACTAGTGAAAGACAAAGCTGTATCAGTTCCTCAGCAGAGGCAGATCTGGGTGTAAATCCCAAATACATATTTCAATATCTCAAAGACATAAGCTTTAATCTCAACAGTACACATAGCAGCTTGGTTCAACCCTTCACAGGGCAAGTAAAATCATATTTATAGACATGGTACTTTAAGAGCACCCTATGGAAATGGCTGCAGAGACAGTGCCCAAGAACAGCGGAGACCCGTTTGAGAAAACTGCTTCCACCTGCTCGAAGAGGGTGAGGGGGTCCTTCCCCAGGCTGCCGCAAGCCTCTTGCCCAGGTACCTACCTGAACTCGGACGAGCTGCCATCTGACCAGGAGTAGAGGTCCTGACACTCCGTGCTATTGTCTACATCGTGCTTTCTCCTCCTAAGTCCTATCCAAAAGTCTCCATCAGAAGCCAGGAGACTTCCAATAAGTTTCTCAATCAGTTTTTGCTCTGCTGCTGTTTCAATACTGACTAGGTGGCCACCGTCAGCTCTGCAGGCCAGGCGAGCTTCCTCATAGCTGGTCCTGCGGGAAACATCATGGAAGTAGACAATCTTATAGCACGGCCGCTGCGTTCCACCTCGACAAACCGTCTGCCCTGCAGAAACAGAAAGAAACACATTACAGAAACTGTGTCTGTTCGGACACAGTGAATGCTCAGTCTTCTCTTTGGCCAAGCTTAGCACTCTAGGCCAGTTTATAGAGTGCAGCAGGGGTAAAGGGAGTAACGAGGCCTCCCTGGCCACTGAAATAGCACAGGGCATCTCCACACTTCTTACTGCATGGAGTTTCAGTTGATCTGCACAGCACAGCTCCTTCATGCTCTGTATTCCTCCGCTCTCTCCCGAGTTTCCTGCAATTTGAAGACCCCAGGAGTTCCTTACGTAGAGGGAATACTGTGCCAGAGAACAAGCCGATGCACAACGTCAGCTTGTTAAGTGGTTTGAAACAGAGATCCCCTTTACACAAGCAGAAGTAATTACTTGCCTTCTGTGGTGTACAGAATCACTACACGGAGCCTACGGCAGTAACATCAAGACGGACTCACACAGTCTGATTTACAAGCACGGCTCTCCACTGTGAGGCTCCCGGCTGCTCAGGAAAGAGACAAGTCTCTTTTCAGACTGTCATAAGCCAAGAGCTTTTTCATGCATGAGGCAGCAGCTTATTTTGATTTTAAGGAAAGCTAGGATCCTAAGTGAAGAGGCAGATAATCTAAAACTTATGCACTTCACGGAGAGTTCCAACATTGAGACTGCCGAAACAAATTTCCATTTTACTTAGTAAAAATTTCTCTTCTCTGTAGAAGACTGTGCTGTCTGCTTGAAGAGAAGACTAGACTATTGAGAAACAAAAAGCCTCTAGCAACTACAGGAAAAAAGCAACAGGCACTACAGAACCAGAACAAAAGGGATGTGTGAACAGATCGTTAGAAATTCACACACAGGTTAGATACACTCTACTTTTCTCTATTTTTTTATGGGAATTTTAAGCACATCTCATAGTCAAATTTTCAAAAAACACTTAAGTACTCAGAGCCATACAGTCTGTTAACACTTCACCGAAAAAAGTACAACCTTTGGGCCACAAAAAATGGTCACCTCAAAAAGCATCTTTAAACAGAAGCTGTGTTTCTCTTTGTAATTGAAGAAATGCACATTTTGTGTAAAAGACAAGAGACTTGACCTCTTCTGAGAGAGACATCCACTGCTGTGGCAAAAACCACAGGGAAAAACAGATGGCAGCAAAATCTGCAGCAACTGTCCGGAAGCAGGGTCAGCTATGAACTGTAGCTTGTTGCTTCTCCAATTTTTTTCCCCCCTCCATACACTAGACCATCTGCCTTGCTGGCCAAATGTGCCACTGCTTTTAGGTGAGAAAAAGCAGATGATTCCAGTCCACTACCAGTTAACTTCCCCAACAGTGATCTCACTGGTGTAGATTAGGTAACAGGAAAACTGGCCACGGAGCTCTCACCCCAGCTGGAAAGGGCCTCTGTATTCCCCCCTTACCTGCTCAGCACGAGCACGGGGGCTGCCCCTGAGCCTGCTGGCCAGCAGGAGCCCTGCTAACGGGGCTAACAGGGAGTCAAGGGCGCTGCCAAGTAAAAGCCGAGGAAGGGAAATAGCGGCCCAAGCGCTCCCTCCCGAGCTCTGCAGCTTGCTGCCGCAAAACGAACCCTTTTACAGACAGTGGCAAGCCGGAACTCAAAATGGATTGGTTTCTCCGGTAAGATGAACGTGAACCAACAAGGAAACTTCTTGTGCAGCAATAAGCAGGCTTTATCTTGAGCACACGAAATTGGCAGCTTTGGGAGAAGCTTCCCCTTGCCTGGCTATTTTGCACTAAGAGTGCTCCAGCCCGTCCCTCCCGAACTAGCCGCGACCACCGCACTTGGACACCCCGGGCCCGCGAGTGCGGCTCGCGGCTGCTGCGCGCTTACTCCTAGGAGGTCTCCCGCGAGGAGCTCAAGCCGCTCCGGGCCGAAGCGGGCACAGCACAGGCTCGTGTCCCCAAGCGCCTGCCCGGGCGGAGGGGCCGAGAGGCAGCCGGAGCGGCAGGAGGGCGCCGCGCGAGCCCCCCCGGCCGCCCGCCCGCCCGCCGCTCCCCGCT